ACTAACAGAGAAAACACCAATTTTCCCAAAACTTACATCCAGAAGGCGTGACAGGAGACCGAGCAGCCAGCCTCAACAGGTTGCTCGCTCTCCGCCTGTCTTTTGCTCCAGGTAAAACTCTTCCTGTGAGGGACGGGAGAGAAACTGTGTTTCTAAGAATCCGAGAAGCAGATGCTGACGTCAAAATTTGAAACCTAACAGTTTTCTAAAGTTCAGGAAACGGACACTTCCGGACTTACCATAGTGTTTAAGAGTCTGTCAGAGTTGTAACTTGAGTCACGGACTCGCTAGCAGCTCCGTCTCCACTTCACACAGCGGAGAAACTGACCAACCAAGTCGCCAGCTCAAGATGCCTTCAGGCTCTCTAATAAAGCTCCGACATTAAGCTTTTGGTCCTCCCACAACACTAGAGACGTGATTTCTACAACACATTTAGTAGGATTTAAACATGTTGCTCTATTCGCTCTCATATTACGTAGGTGTTATATGTTTATTCGTCCCTTCCGTATGGGGTAAATGTCCGACTTCTGTGGAGTTAGCTACCCCCCTGATAAACCAGCACGTCCAACAACCCCATAAGGTACCACAGCAGACAGTGATACTTCCTACTGAACAGTACCTCAATTTACAGTAACTTCTCTTCCCCAATTCATTGGTCAGACACAGGCCCCATGACTGCTCAACACTAATGTCACAAATATGTGCACTGATGACAGGAAATACTTACATAATCCTTCTGAATAACACTCGACTTCCAGCGTGGGCGCAGAGCAGACAGAAGTTCACAAACTAAACAAAACTTATAGTAGATTCTATTAAAAGCAAAAACAAAAGCTGTAGGTTAATTAATTCTGAGTGGCGGATCTATTTAAAAGACTTTGAATATACAATCCGCAGTAAAATAAATAAATAAATAAATCTTGAATAAAGTCAAAGAATAGCAGCAAAACAGTCACCACAGACAGTTATGTAGTATAAATTTCTGCAGACTAACTTAGGCCAAATGGGTAAAGTTCAGTTCTAAGTGCCTTATTTCACATTGTTTAAACCATTCTACATTTTTACCGTAAAAATAATGACAATAATATAACACAAGTAGTGTATTTTGTTAAGTTTAAAGAAAGAAACATTGCACACAATTAGCTGGGAATGAAGAATGTGACGTTTAACTTGTTCATTTTTTAAAAGTAAATTACCACACTGCCAGGGGGCCCCAAGAGCATAATAAAATATATATATTATATTTAAAATGACATTCAATAGAACAAACTAAATGCAATTGTCATATTCAATTTTCATATTGTTTTATTGTTATTACACAGATAATGGCTATACACAGATAATGGTTAATCTCATCCTGTTGATGGTTGCTGTCGCTGTCGAGGAAATATAAAATATCGAACTTGTTACCATGTTTACTGTAAATTTAGTGATATTACTTTTAAATTGTTTAAATAATATGTGAAATATTTTTTATGTAGTTTTTTTTTAACTCTTGCAAGGTTAAACTCGATAGCCATAACACTGGTAGGATGGAAGCTAGATACAAATAATGCTAATGATGGTGGATGAGAGCAGTCATTAACAGGAAAGGGTTAACCATTATTTGTGTAACTACTATAAGAACAAGAGAAATTGTTTTCCATGTGTAATAGCATTTAGCTTTTACTATTCAATGTTATTTTGGATATATAAATATACACATCTATTATGCCAGCTTGGTGCTCTCGTTTGCCCCCTGGTGGTGTGGAGGCCTTAAAACAACCACTTAACTCACAAAGCCTTGGACCGACCCAGACTTGCTGACTTCACATTCTGACTCTTCGTTTTTCTTTGTAACCATAGAGGTTTTGCTACTTCAAAGTTGTTGTCTTTTTTTTTAAACAAACATTTAATACACTCACAAAACTGCTGAGATCAAATTACACACATCTGAGCTCTGTTTGTTAATTTGGCAGAGTAATTTGGCAACTGAAGATGAAAAGTTGCATTGGATTTAATTTACAAGGACTAAATTAAAGCGGCCTGAATGCTATTGTACCCCACAGTTTTCACATTATTTATTACTTTTGAATAATTTTTAAATCATGAATTCTCTTTCTGATATTTTACAATACGTACTAAAATATATTTGCCTAAGTGATACAATCCGAATAAAATATACCCGTTGTTGTGGTTTTACTGTGAGAAAATGGAAAAATGATAAAGGGGTGTGGATAATATTGCATGGCACTGTTTATTTTATTTTTTCAGTTTAAATAATTCCCTTTTGACCACAAGAGGGCGTTGTTGATTTATGGGTTTGCATGTGCATTCCACTTGGCTTAAGTACGAAGACACTTGTCACGGCTCAAATTAATTCACAGAAGCTGTAAAAATGTAAATATCAAAATGAAGGATTATCTTAGCTCCTTTATTTTATTATGTTCGCTTGATCTTTTATGCTTTTGGGGGGAAAAACTGATGATGGAAGGGAAAAAAAGCTTATAGAGGACCAATTATGTTTGTTTTTTTCTTCTGAGGTCAGGAGAAGTGAAACATTGCAGGTGCACAGTTGCAAGTCCCTTCGCGAGCATTTCCTTTTTCTTAATAGTAAAACATGGCTTCAATTACTGAATTCAGACAAATCTAACCACACTGCACCTCTGCCATTCATTTCCACCATCATTACATGATGGGAAGCCCATTCTACGGCCTAAACTTTGCAAAGGTTAGGAGTGGGAGGGGGCTTTTTTTTCTGAGAGCAACATCAGACGACTCAGCTGCTGTGGACTCTCACTTCAGTTGACCAGTAATAAATGTCAGCAAGCCAGATCTGTCCTTTTATTTTGTCTTCCTTTATGTATTTTAGCCAGTGTTGATTATGAAATATTTCCAAGGATGCCCCAAAGTGTGAGGCATTGTTAAATCTTACAAATACAAACACAGAGAAATGCTGTAAAAGTTGCAATTTGTTGTGAAGGGACATTGTGTTTCACACAACATTATCCCAAATGAAGTCAGTCATTAATCATTTAAAGTAAGTGTTCATTGTAAACACGATGGGAGCAGAAATAAAGCCAGGCTGGAAATCTGATGACAGTTGACCGTCACCGCCTTCATCTACTGGGTTTGAGCAAGTCGTTACTTGTGAGATAAGCTACATTTAAATTGCCTTGGCTTGTTACTAGGCTACAGAAAAAGGTTAGATTTACACTGCCGCTGGAAATGTGTTGACTTTTTCTGAGGCAGCTGCTGTTTAAAAGTCCAGTAATCTACAGGGAAAGGTCAGTTCCAGGACGAGAGGAAGACGCCTCCCAAAACAGTTTTTAGTCATCTCGTTCTCTGAAGTTACAAAAAAATTGGGTTCGAGTTTTATGTGTTATTGCCTTCAAAATTTTGTGCGAAAAAGACTTGAAGCACATTGAAAAGATTCTTCAGATCACAATAAATCTCTCTGACCCACTTTGTTGCCTCAGTGCAAGAAACACCTGCATATAAACCAAATTGTACAGTAAGTACAATGAAACATTGGATTTGATTTGAACTTCAAAGGGATTTTATCTTTTTTCCTCTTTTTTTTAACATTTAACATCTCTACATATACACTGCTGTGTATTATCATTCCTTGAATTTGTCTACTGAATTTCTTGGCATTTAACTTGATAAACCAATACATAATAGAACATCATTCAAAAGTGGTAGAAAAATAACAGTTGTAAATGTTTTGTTTTTAGAAATGAAAATCTGAAATTTGTGGTGTTCAGTCATTCTGTACTTAAACACTTGAATTGAACCACTTGACAATTACAGTAGCTGCATTTCCATTACATATGGGCACAAAAATCACAACTGTGCAATTGCGGTGTTTCCGTTAAACAAGAAACGCAATTAAAATTAACTTTGTTAAATCAAGTTTGTTCACACAATAAGTCATTAAAAAAACTTGTGTTTTTTTTAATGACTTATTGGCCTTCATCAGGCCATCATCCTTCTACCACTTCCTGTCGTCTTCTTCTTTGTGGTTTGCGCCAATGGTAACATCTGACTGTTGATCACGTGACTCGTGATATGAAAAAAGGGTTTTCACTGCAGTTTTGCAAAATAACAAAAAAAATCACCTCATAGCTGCAAAATGTTTTTTTTATTGAATAACAAGTTGTTCTTTTTAATTGGTGTGCTTCCATGAAGCAAATTTATTGTCAACATGCCAAATATTGCAATGATATAGTCACTGGAAATGCAGCAAGTGTTTTGTTTATGTTTCTTTTGGCCTTCTACATCTAAATTAGATTTGTTTTTGTTCATTCTTTGATGGAAGATGGTTCAAGTTTTTAGTGTGAAGCATCATCCAATTTCAAGCCTCTCCACAGAATAATAATGGGATTCAAGTCAGGACTTTGACACAGCAGCTAAGAACAAAACACAAGAGCTGCACTTCAGACAAGCTCACCTAAATTACAGAAGAGATTTAAAAAATATTCACTGTTCTCCAATGACCTCCACAGTCACCAGATATCAATCCAATTGAGCACTTTTGACATGTGTTTCAAAGGGAGTTTCACATCCTGGATGTGCAGCGCAACCAACTGTGAGTGAATATTAACATGACCACCCGGACTGAAATCCAGTTGATAGGTAAAGAGATAGAGTCCAGTAAAGCCAAAGTGTACCTATTAAAGTGACCGTTGAGTCTATACTGAGATGAAATTACACACAAATGGATTCTATTTAAATTTGTAAAAAAATAAAATTGTTATAAAGCAAATGTCCTTCTCACTCCTCCTCCGTTATGGAGTACTTCGTGTTGGCCAGTCACATAAAAGGCCGGTAAATACTCTGATATGACAGTAGTTGCACTAATACAGCTCTTTCCCTAAATGCACTAGTTTCAAGGTTAATTCGGTTTTTATTGATTTCTGTTTTTCCAGACCCTAAGAAGTGGGTGGAGCTAAAATTAAATAACAGGCCGCTATTGGCTAGGAGCTGATGCGCACGTGCTCCTTCTCTCCGCCTGTTGACTGGGAGTTCATCGTGCTCGAGCCTCCGCAGCAACAGCGTCCAAACCAAACCGCCGCGGAGCTCCAACTGAGTCGTTGTCCCGCAGACTGACAAACTGCAGCTTCTTATTTATTTTTTTTCCGACCGAGGGAAACAGCGGCCATGGAGGAGCTGGCGCGTTACTTCTTCTGGGCGCAACTTCTCGTAGCTTGCCTGGTGTTTGGGGTGAAAGGTAAGCGGTTCTCGCTATAACAGTTTTCGTGTTTGTTTACAGTTCAAACGAGCTCATTCACGCCCAGGACAGCTGTGGTTCTGCTCGAGTGATGGACGCAGTTTTCAAAAGTTGTTCCAGGTGTCTGTCTTCTCGAATTAAGTTAATGAACTCACTATAAAACCCCCTGGAGACCGTGTTTTACTTATTTCTTTGATAGTAGAAACTCAGTTTCAGGTCGCCAAATCATTAATTTAGTGGGGGGGGGGGAATGAACTTTATGAGCTCTAAATGTACATTACATGTGAGATATTCAACACATACACGCAATTTGTCCACCACATTTTATGAAGGCTATAACTTACCATCGCGTATTTTGAGAATAGTTTTAATAACAAAATAATTCAGTAATTAACACTTTAGCAACATGGATTACACGATAATAAAAACCTTTTGGTATTTTTTGTGCATTGACCCCTTTTTTTAAGTAGCAGTAGACACACAGGCTGTCTATTATTCGTCTCCAGTTTTAACCTCCTGCCTTTGGCATCTTGGCTTTGTTTGTATTTCCATCCATTGAAACATTTAGGCCAATGAACAAAAGGTAAAACGTCTTGACTTCCCCCTAGACCCCTCGCCTCCATTTGTGCTTACCAACATACCAAGGAACAGGAAGTGCTTTCTTAGGATGATGGATTTTCCAAATGTCATGCTGTCAAAGCGAGGAATACACAACTTGGTTGTGTATTTCTCACCAGATGTCAGCCTGTGACTTTTCCTCCTGCAGCGACCCAAGCTCCTAAAGTCTCCTTGTTTGACATGAAGCGTGCTGTGAAAACCCACCATCACCAAATCCCACATTCGATCAAGTTTTGTTGTGGAGTGAACATTTTATAGCCTGTTTTCTTAATCTCAACACTTTTTTTTTTTACTGAACTGTTGATTAGCTCTAAGAAGAGACCCCATTTAATCTCCTCAACTGATGACCCAGTGCTTTAGGTATTTGAGTTACCTGTTTGGTTTTTTCCTTTGAAACGATGGCATGAAAACCAGAGGACTCCAGAGGCACGGGATGTCTCTGGACATGTTGTTTTTCTCTGCGGTTCATGGGTGACAGTTATTGAAAAATAGGTGTGGTGATAAAAGATTAGTCATATTTCCTGGATTCTGTTGTTGGATCTTCGACTCCTAACAAAGTTGACAGTTTAGCCTGGAGGATGACAGATGGGAGCGATGCGTTGCTATCTTGTCCTGTAAAATGCATACAGAGCAATTGTATAGAAGGAAGAGCTGATTGCATGGTTTAACCTGATTGGTTGTGTTCAGCAGGTTGTAGGTTGCTTGTCTGTTGCTTTAGCTGCTGAGTGGAGAGAAGTGGAAAGCTGTGTTCTGTGTCAGGGCTGAGACAGTTCTTTTTTTTTTTCTTCTCACAACTGAAGCACTTTTGTTGGCTAAGTGAACCAAGGGCTAAAAATAGCCTAACATTAGACCAATGGGAAAGCTTCAGCATGCGTTTGTGTATAATCTTCGCTTGTATGCAGGTATATATGAACCGTTCTGTATTAAATTTGGTTCAAATTTACATGAAGATTAATAAAGACACGTTTTAATTGGCAATATATCACCCAAGTAATGCTGACCTCAGTGTCTCAAGCAGTGGAAAGCACACAGGGGTTTAATTTCCTGCTAATATAATAATGTCTGTGCTTCACCATCACTCAGAACATCGTGCATTGACTAGTATGTTAGGGTTTATATTTAGGGTTTATAAAGCATAACTCCTGAAATGAGGGTGTTGGTTTTTGCGGCACAAGTTGTTCCTTAAGCTGCCGCTAGCTAAGCTGCTCATGTTGCTGTGAATGCTGGTTTATCTGTATCTGGAGATGAATGAGATGTGGGTGTGTAAAAGTGAAGACCTCAATCCATGACTTATTCAAGCATTGGAGCAACAAGCCCCTTAGACTTAGGAGCTGCTATATATGCGGCATTTTGGGGAAATCCTGCAGTTGGCGATTTTTTTATTTTTATTTTTTAAATAGAAGAGTTATGGATTCAACTTGTTGGACTAACACAACTTCTCATGAACTGTGTGATGCTGTGCTGGTGGAGGTAGCTGCACATTGTCCAAACAAAAAAACAAAAAAAAATCATTCAGCATCCTATTTCCTGTTGTCGTCTTCTTCGTTTTCGGCAATAGTAACATCCGGTTGTTGATCATGTGACTCGTGACATGAAAAAAAAGTGTTTTGATAGGGCTGAAAAAACCACCTCATCCCAGCGCAAAAACTTTATCAAAAATTTTTTTGTTTTTTTTCCCACAAGGCCTCACTGTTTCCATTAAGAATATTTATTTTTATAGTTTCATTTATATGCAGCTTTTGAGACTGAATCTAAAAAAATAAAATAAAATCGTATTTTATGATTGTTAAATAATTGAGTTTTATTGTATGGAATAAAGTCTATTTACTTTATCATAGTGCCTTGATCTCATCTGACCTCCTGACCTTCTCCTGCCCCTTTCTTCTGGATCCTCCAGGGCAGGGGTCCCCAAACTTTTTCCTGCTAGGGCCACATAGCTGTTCCTTTCTGTGGTCGGGGGCCGGTCTTAGTTTTTGGAGAAAGAAACCTTAGAAAATTCTTTTTGAGCGGGGGGGTGGGTTTGGATGCGCGATGACACATTCGTGCTTTTAGATAGATTTTTACCCAGAATGCAAATGGAAAAAACCGTGAGTGAAACGGTCACTGGGACTGACTAGTATATATTCCATTGAGGGAAAGTTAGTTTCACATCTGCTCAAGAGCCCCCCTGGTGGTTGAAGAAAAATCCACATATAAACCAGAAAATACAATATATGAAAAAAAAACACTGAATGCTCTCTGGTATGAGGAGGCGGGCCAGATCCGGCATTGTTCAGGGGGCCGGACCAAATGACGTGGCGGGCCAGATCCGGCCCGCGGGGCGTAGGTTGGGGACCCCTGGTCCAGGGGCTTATTGGAAAACCTAAAACGGACCTGGACCTGCACTGGATTGAGTTGAGAGACATTGGTCTCACTACAGGATTTTAATCCATGAGTGTATAATGTGTTACTAATGGTAACCAGATACTTTGGGGGAAAACTAATTGACTTAATCAACCCAATTTTCAGCAGTAACATCACAATTAAATGTCTTCCAGATCTTGTGCAGCCCTTAGTACGTCTTGTGGTTGTGTGAATCAAATATGAATATTCCAACAACAGTTCTGACTCATCCCATCTGCCTCTGATGGGATTTCCCTCCAGGCCTCTGCCTTTTTCAGCACTGATCACTTTTCTTTTTCTTGTCTCTCGATACAAGAGTTTCTTATGTTTTCTTTCGCCCTTCATCTCATTTCAATATTGAACAGCTTCCTCGATCAATATTTTATCACAGTGTGGAATATCTTCTAATTTTGGATACTTTATTAGTATCTGTCACCCCACTTTCCAATCTGCTGTGTTCAATATTTTACATGCAACCATGTGATATTTTTAAGCAGAGCCAGGCAGCACTTGAATCAGAGATCACAAATTGTTCATTCAAACCAGTTCTGTTGAGATATAACAAGAAAGAGGAAATCAGCATTTGACTTTTATGGTTTGAAAAAACAAAACAAGGTAGTTTTTGAAATATTTTCATTCCCGGATCTTATTCAGTTCCAGCTCTTCAGAGGAAAGTGTGTTGTGGCGTTGCTGGTGCGTGACTCCGCTGTGTGTATTTATAGACTTTTAGAGCAGGAGCAGATGGCTGTGCTCTGGAGTTGCAATCACAGATTACAGAAAGCTCACCTGCAGCTGGAGTCCTGCTGATCTCAGAATATGTACAAAATAAAAAAAAAATAGCTTTACTCTTCATTTTAGTTAAACCTCAATAAATTCATTTCCTGTTACACTTCAGGTTTGGCTCCCTTCCCCTGAAGCTCCCTGCTGTTTTCTAGCTGGTTGTTAGACTAAACGAGCGCCACAGGCTGTCTGAACACACGTCAATGCGTCTTTAACAGCTTCCACAAGGGCTGAGAGTCAGGGTTATGAATGCAGGCGACACGACGCTCGCTCCCTGGCTTTCTGGAACACTGAGTCCTGCGCTGTCCTGTTGGTTTGTGTGGCCCAGCATGACGGCACAGAGAGCAGAGCGCGTTGCTGCGTAATGCGAACACTGACTTACTACTGCGTGTTATTCCCACTGTAGTAATAATGCAGCTTCCGTTCGTCACATATTTTCCTTTCTTTTACTTTTGTTCTGTCTCCAGCTGACATCTCAGATCTCACCAGAGAAGCATCACATGTTTCAGATTCTCAGCTTCAATTTAAAAATACTTTATTAATCCCAGAGTATTTTACTTAATTTCCCTATCACATGATGGGGATCTGAAGGCAGGTACTAGCGTTGATAGGCTCTTCAATAAAGGAACCTAACAAAAAAAGTTTACAGATGCATCTTGGTATAACTTATTTGTTTTTGTAGTTGAACCATTGATTATTTTTATTCTTAAAGGGGCTTTATTATGTAACATAGTTGTTCAGCTTTATGTCGTGTTATGTTATTCTGTCATCTAAAATGGAATATTGGAATATAGCCTTGATTCTTTTATGCATGTTTAAGAAATCCTTGAAACTCCCATGGCTATGCAAAACGCCTGGTTGGACCTAGCTCCGCCTTCGAGGCACAGCTTCTCCTCAGAGCTGCAGTTTCTAATCTTCTTTTACGGCATTTTACACCAACTTGTTAAACAGACCTCAGGGTTTCCCCCAATGTATTACAAGCCTGACGGGCCACCAGACTTTACTTGTTCTCCTACCAGGCTAAGCATTGTTTTCTTAAGGTTTTTTTTTTTTTTTTTTGCATTTTTTAAGACTTTATAGTTGGTGTTCAGATGTTAATCTTCCAGTCTTTCAATAACACACAATTATCAAATGATATTTTCAAATTTCCTGTCAACTTTAAACATTTTTTAACTCAAAAACATGATGGGCCACTGATTGAATGACTGCCCTAGCACCCA